CTGTTAAACCACATTGAAGTATGTTAAAAGATGTTTATTTTTCTTGTAAATATCTGAAGCTGTAGCTTAGTGGAAATTTTAGTAAAGTGATGGATTTTGCTTTAAAATGTCTACCTTAATTCATAACAATAAGATTTGTCAATCAGGATTTATTCATGTTTTCCCTGATTTTTATCTTCTCACCATTTTACCTCTTTTACGAGGAGCCTGAGCACAAAGTTTAATGAGGAAGCTGGGGCTATAAATATGTGTATATATGTATATGTATGTTTGTACAAATCTACATGATGTTTGCCAAGTTTGGGTGCCAAAACTTGGAAAATGTGATAATAAAGAATAAAAGTAGTGACTCAAATTAGTATTAAGATGTGTTTACATAGACAAATTTTTTTAAAAAGCACACCCTGGCATCTGTTCTGTTGAAGCAACAAAACATTTATATAACTTAAAAAATGAATGCAGGCCAGGTACAGTGGCTCATGCCTGTAATCCCACCACTTTGGGAGGCCAAGGTAGGTGGATCACTTGAACCCAGGAGTTCAAAGACCAGCGTGGATAACATGGCGAAACCTCATCTCTACAAAAAAAAAAAAAAATTGGCCAAGCATGGTCTCTGATGCCTGTAGTCCCAGCTACTTGGGAGGCAGAAGCACGAGCACTGTTTGAACTCAGGAGGCAGAGGTTGCATTGAGCCAAAATCATGCCACTGCACTTCAGCCTAGGTGACAGAATGAGACCCTGTCTCAAAAAAAAAAAAAAAAGAATTGCTCATTAACATTTCTGATGTTTGTTATTTAGAATATTGCCCTATTAGATTAAGACATACTTTTATTGGAATACTATATTGTATTAGCCTTCATTATGCTAAACCCAGACACCAAATACTACATGTGCTACCACAGTTCTCTATAAATAACCCGAATTTCATTTGAAGGACAAACCAGAATCTGTTAGGAATGTAATTTTGATATCAACTATTCGAAATGACTTTTTAAAAGACAGATTCAAACAATGAAGGAGAGAGCGCTCAACTTGGACACAAAGTCCCTTAAATTTTCATCAGATTTTCTTCAAAATGGAGTAGAGGATTGGCCCTTCAATTTTCAGCTTTGATCTAGTTCACAGTTTAGGACAATACAAATTCCACACAGAGAAATTGGTAGCATTATGATGTAAACATCCCCCTCCCTTCCACCAAACAAAAACCAATGGGCCTGGTTTTATCAGAGCTATTTTAGCTGAATCGCGTTATAGATTTGTAGTACATTTCCCTGAATTTTATTACTCAAAATTCTTTGAAATAGGCTGGGTGCAGTAGCTAACACCTGTAATCCCAACCCTTTGGGAGGCCAAAGTGGGCAGATCACTTGAGGTCAGGAGTTCGAGACCGGCCTGGTCAACGTGGCAAAACCCCATCTCTACTAAAAATATAAAAATTAACTGAGTGTGCTGGCATGTGCCTGTAATCCCAGCTACACAGGAGGCTGAGACAGGAGAATCACTTAAACCAGGTGGTAGAGGTTGCAGTGACCCGAGATTGCGCCACTGCACTCCAGGCTGGGCGACAGAGTGAAGCTCCGTCTCAAAAAAAGAAACATTATTTGAAATAGTTTTTAAATTAACCTAATCTACCACTTTATTTTCTGCCAAAATTATGGTTTTCCAGTTCAAACAGGCACACAGTTTACCATTTAAGGCTCCAGGTCTCAGTTTCTCCTTCTGACTCTCCAGCATCTGCCCGTACCCTGTATAAACCACTTGAACTCTGGCTTTGACTCTTCATCTGTAAATGTCCTAATGCCAGCAACAATATCCTTTTACATGCTAATTCCAACCACAGGTAGTCTTGCTTAAAAGGGGGAGGGAGGTGTGGAACTTGCCTTGATTAGATTAGTATGAGTTTCTTCTCTGAAGCATTTTATTCTGTGATACTTAAATTAGCACTTTATATCCCTCCATGAATTTTCCTGTTAGTCTGATCTCACCAGCATTTGTTAATTCAACAAATAGGAATCCTCAGCCTGTGCCTAGGATTCAGCAACAAACTACCTGGACACATGGTCTCTTAGAACTTAAAGAGGTAGGAATTCTTAATGTAAATACAGTACTCAATTATACTCAGATTTATTATTAACATTGTTATGGACTGAGATGTGTCCCCCTAAAATTCACGGGTTAAGGCCTAATCTGCTATGTGATTGTAGATAGAGCCTTTATAAGGGGATAAGGTTAAATGAGGTCATAAGAACGAGGCCCTAATCCAACAGGACAAGTGCCCTGCTAATAGGAAGGCACAGCCAGGTGTGGCGGCTCGTGCCTGTAATCTCAGCACTTTGGGAGGCCAAGGCAGGCAGATTACCTGAAGTTGGGAGTTCAAGACCAGCCTGACCAACATGGAGAAACTCTGTCTCTACTAAAAATACAAAATTAGCAGGGCGTGGTGGCGCATGCCTGTAATCCCAGCTACTTGGGAGGCTGAGGCAGGAAAATAATGAACCCAGGAGGCGGAGGTTGTGGTGAGTCAAGATCACGCCATTGCACTGCAGCCTGGGCAACAAGACTGAAACCCTGTCTCAAAAAAATGAATAAATAAAAGGAAGACAGCCAGGCGTGGTGGCTCACGCCTGTAATCCTAGCACTTTAGGAGGCTGAGGTGGGTGGATCACCTGAGGTCAGGAGTTCAAGACCAGCTTGGCCATCATGGTGAAACCCCATCTTTAAAAAAAAAAGAATAAAAGGAAGACTAGGAAGGCACACCAGAAGTTTGCCTGCATGGAGGAAAGGCCCTGTGAGCACACAGGGAGAGGGCTGCTGTCTGTCTACACACCAGGAAGAAAGTCCTCACCAGATTCCAACCCTGGCCATCTCCTTGATTTTGGATTTCCAACCTCCAGAATGGTGAGAAAATACATTTCTGTGGTTTAAGCCACTCAGCCCTTGGTGTTCTTTTATGGCAGCCTGAGCAGACCAATAACAATATTAGCAGTAATTAGGTGTTTACTGTGGGGCCTGAGATGCATAGGAATCGAACAGGCTGTTTTGTATATGAGTATTTTTCTTTTTTTTTTTATTTAAAAAAATGTTTAAAAATTCTTTAAATTATTTATTTATTTATTTATTTTAAGACGGGGTTTCACCATGTTCATCAGGCTGGTCTTGAACTCCCGACCTCAGGTGATCCACCTACCTTGGCCTCCAAAGTGCTTGGATTACAGGCATGAGCTACCATGCCCAGCTGGCTTGTATATGAGCATTTTTAGGGTAGAATTCATAATTCTAGAGTTTAGATCTGTGACTTTCCACCCTAAAGTCACAAACCACTGCTCTAATCCAAACCTATTATTTCACAGTTCATACCTCTCACCTAAAAGGGCTTCATTACATAGGCTGCTTTGTATCAAGGCTTGGTTTCCCTCTGACCCTTTAAGATAAAAATCATTCTTAGCTTCAGGCCATACAAAAATAGGCAGTGGGCCATAGTTGTCTGATCCTTATTCTGAATCCCTAAAAAGATTTTAAATCTAGATCTGTCAACAAGCAAGGCACCCAGCTCATTTTCTTTTGTTTCTTTTTGAGATGAAGTCTTGCTCTGTCACCCAGGCTGGAGTACAGTGGCACAGTCTCAGCTCATTGCAACCTCCACCTCCTGGGTTCAAGCCATTCTGCCTCAGCCTCCTGAGTAGCTGGGACTATATAGGCCCCCGCCACCACATCCAGCTAATTTTTCAATTTTTGTAGAGACGGGGTTTCACCATGTTGGCCAGGCTGGTCTCAAAATCCTGACCTCAAATGAACTGCCCACCTCAGCCTCTCAAAGTGCCTGGATTACAGGTGTGAGCCACCATGCCCTGCCACTCAGCTCTTTCTCTACCATCTTGAGTTGCAGCCTATGGCAGGCATACCCTGGGAAGTGACCCTGGGGCCTAAGAAGAATCTATGTTCGGAGTTCCAAGTTAAGGAATCCAGGTGTGGCCAACCCAGAGACTCACTCCTTACCAATGAAGGACATCTGTACCCCTTGCCCATTCCTTGGAATGCAGGCTGTACAGGGGATGGTGGCCCTTTGTATTGGGTTAAGTGGAAGTTGCTAGGTAGAAGTTGCTAAGTGAAAACGATATGTTAAACTACATGCTTTTTTAAAACAGTAGCAATTTTCCTGTCCCACCCACTGCTCCCAGACTGTCCTGTTATGTAAATCCACAATAAACCCTAGGTCTCATTCACTGGCTCCGCATCTCTTCTTCAGCCTCTCTCACATGGCACCATCCCCACTAGAGTGGACAGTAGTCTGACACAACAAGTAGTAGCCATTCAGCAGAGCCATCTCATGCTTGTTTAACATTTGGAAATCTGCAATGAAAATTATCAAGTTTTGGCTGGGTGTAGTGGTTCATGCCTGTAATCCCAGCACTTTGGGAGGCCAAGGCAGGTGGATCACTTGAGGTCAGGAGTTTGAGACCAGCCTGGCCAACATGGTGAAACCCTATCTCTACTAAAAATACGGAGAAAAAAAAAAAAAAGCCGGACATGGTGGCAGGTGCCTGTAATTGCAGCTACTCAGGAGACTGAGGCAGGAGAATCGCTTGAACCCAAGAGATGGAGGTTGCAGTGACCCGAGATTGTGCAACTGTACTCCAGCCTGGGTGACAGAGTGAGACTCCACCTTACAAAAGAGAAGACAACTAGGCTGGGTGCAGTGGCTCACGCCTGTAATCCCAGCACTTGGGAAGCTGAGGCGGGAGGATTGCTTAAGCCCAGGAGTTTGAGACCAGCCTGGGCAACATGTATACTCTGTCTCTACAAAAAAAAAAAATTAATACAATTTTTTTTTGTATTAAAAGCACACACACAAATAAAATACTTTACAGACAAGCAACTTCTGAGAGATTTTGTCACCACCAGGCCTGCCTTACAAGAGCTCCTGAAGGAAGCACTAAACATAGAAAGGAACAGCCAGTACCAGTCACTGCAAAAACATACCAAATTGTAAAGGTCATCGACACTATGAAGAAACTGCATCAACTAACAGGCAAAACCAGCTAGCATCAAAATGACAGGATCAAATTCACACATACCAATATTAACCTTACATGTAAATGGGATGAATGCCCCAATGAAAAGACACAGACTGGCAAATTGGATAGTCAAGACCCATCTGTGTGCTGTATTCAGGATACCCAACTCATGTGCAAAGACAAATATAGGCTCAAAATAAAGGGATGGGGGAAGATTTACCAAACAAATGGAGAGCAAACAAAAGCAGGGGTTGCAATTCTAGTCTCTGATAAAACAGACTTTAAACCAACAAAGATCAAAAGAGACAAACAAGAAGAGCTAACTATCCTAAATATATATGCACCCAATGCAGGAGCATTCAGGTTCATAAAGCAAGTTCTTAACGACCTACAAAGAGACTTAGACTCCCGCACAATAATAGTGGGAGACCCTAACACTCCACTGTCAATATTAGATCAATGAGACAGAAAATTAACAAGGATATCCAGGACTTGAACTCAGATCTGGACCAAGCAGACCTAACAGACATCTACAGAACTCTCCACCCTAAATCCATAGAATATACATTCTTCTCAGCACCATATCACACTTATTCTAAAATTGACCACATAACTGGAAGTAAATCACTCCTCAGCAAATGCAAAAGAACAGAAATCATAACAAACAGTCTCAGACCACAGTGCAATCAAATTAGAACTCAGGATTAAGAAACTCACTCAAAACCACACAACTACATGAAAACTGAACAATCTGCTCCTGAATGACTACTGGATAAATAATGAAATGAAGGCAGAAACAAAGATGTTCTTCAAAACCAAAGAGAACAAAGATACAATGTACCAGAATTTCTGGGATACATTTAAAGCAATGTCTACAGGGAAATTTATAGCACTAAATGCCCATATGAGAAGTGAGGAGAGATCTGAAATCAACACCGTAACATCATAATTAAAAGAACTAGAGAAGCAAGATCAAACAAATTCAAAAGCTAGCAGGAGACAAGAAATAGCTAAGATCAGAGCAGAACTGAAGGAAATAGACACACGTAAAAAGCCTTAAAAAAAAAATAAATGAGGCCGGGCACAGTGGCTCATGCCTGTAATCCCAGCACTTTGGGAGGATGAGGCAGGTGGACCACAAGGTCAGAAGTTCGAGACCAGCCTGGCAAATATGGCAAGACTCGGTCTCTACTAAAAATACAAAAATTAGCAGGGCATGGTGGCATATGCCTGTAGTCCCAGCTACTTGGGAGGCTAAGACAGGAGAATTGCTTGAACTTAGGAGGCAGAGGTTGCAGTGAGCCGAGTTTGTGCCACTGCACTCCAGCTTGGGTGACAGAGTGAGACTCCATCTCAAAAAAATAAACAAACAAATAAATAAATAAATAAATCACTGAATCCAGGACCTGGTTTTTTGAAAAGATCAACAAAATAGATCACCATAGCCAGACTAATAAAGACGAAAAGAGAGAAGAATCAAATAGATGTAATAAAAAATGATGAAGGGGATATCACCACCAATCCCACAGAAATACAAACTACCATGAGAGAATACTACAAACACCTCTATGCAAATAAACCAGTAAATCTAGAAAAAATGGATAAATTCCTGGACACTTACACCCTCCCAAGACTAAACCAGGAAGAAGTTGAATCCCTGAATAGACCAGTAACAAGGTGTGAAGTTGAGGCAGCAAGTAAGAGCTTACCACCCAAAAAAAGCCCAGGTCCAGATGGGTTCACAGCCGAATTCTACCAGACATACAAAGAGGAGCTGGTACCATTCCTTCTGAAACTACTCCAAACAATACAAAAAGAGGGAATCCTCCCTAACTCATTTTATGAGACAAACATCATCCTGATACTAAAACCTGGCAGCAACACAACTAAAAAATAAAATTTCAGGCCAATATCCATGATGAACATTGATGTGAAAATCCTCAATAAAATACTGGCAAACTGAATCCAACAGCACACCAAATAGCTTATCCAGCACGTTCAAGTCGGCTTCATCCCTGGGTTGCAAGACTGGTTCAACATATGCAAATCCATAAACGTAATCCATCACATAAACAGAACCAAAGACAAAAACCACATGATTATCTCAATAGATGCAGAGAAGGCCTTCAATAAAATTCAACAGTGCTTTATGCCAAAAACTCTCAATAAATCGATGGAACATATCTCAAAATAATAAAAGCCATTTACGACAAACCCACAGCCAATATCATACTGAATGGGCAACAACTGGAAGCATTCTCCTTGAAAACTGCCACTAGACAAGGATGCCCTCTCTCACCACTCCTATTCAACATAGTATTGGAAGTTCTAGCCAGAGCAATCTAACAAGAAAAAGAAATAAAGGGTATTCAATTAGGAAAAGAGGAAGTCAAATTGTCTCTATTTGCAGATGGCATGATTGCATATTTAGAAGACCCTATCTTCTCAGCCCAAAATCTCCTTACGCCGATAAGCTACTTCAGCAAAATCTCAGGATACAAAATCAATGTGCAAAAATCTCAAGCATTCCTATACACCAGTAATGGACAAACAGAGAGCCAAATCAAGAGTGAGCTCCCATTCACAATTGCTACAAAGAGAATAAAATATCTAGGAATACAACTAACAAGGGATGTGAAGGACCTCTTCAAGGGGAACTACACACCACTGTTCAAGAAAATAAGAGAGGACACAAACAGATGGAAAAACATTCCATGCCCATGGTTAGGAAAATCAGTACTGTGAAAATAGCCATACTGCCTAAAGTAACTTATAGATTCAATGCCATCCCCTTCAAGCTACCATTGACTTTCTTCACAGACTTGGAAAAAACCACCTTAAACATCATATGGAACAAAAAGGCCCACAGAGCCCAGACAATCCTAAATCCAAAAAAACAAAGCTGAAGGCATCATGTTACCTGACTTGAAACTATACTACAAAGTTACAGTAATCAAAACAGCATGAGACTGGTACCAAAACAGACATATAGACCAATGCAACAGAACAGAGGCCTCAGAAATAGTGCCACACATCTACAACCATTTGATCTTTGACAAGCCTAACAAAAACAAGCAATGGGGAAAGGATTCCCTATTTAATAAATAGTGTTGGGAAAACTGGCTAGCCATAGGCAGAAAGCTGAAACTGGACCCCTTCCTTACACCTTATACAAAAATTAACTCCAGATGGATTAAAGATTTACACATAAGACCTAACACCATAAAAATCCTAGAAGAAAACCTAGGCAATACCATTCAGGACATAGGCATGGACAAGGACTTCATGACTAAAACACCAAAAGCAATGGCAACGAAAGCCAAAATTGATAAATGGGATCTAATTAAACTTAGGAGCTTCTGCACAGTGAAAGAAACTATCATTAGAGTGAACCAGCAACCAACAGAATGGGAAACATTTTTGCAATCTACCCATCTGACAAAGGGCTAATATCCATAATCTACAAAGAACTTAAATTTATAAGAAAAAAAGAAACAACCCCATCAAAAAGTGGGCAAAGGATATGAACAGGCACCTCTCAAAAGAAGACATTTATGCAGCCAACAAACAAATGAAAAAATGCACCTCATCACTGGTCATTAGAGAAATGCAAATCAAAAACACATTGAGATACCATCTCACACCAGTTAGAATGGCGATCATTAAAAATCAGGAAACTGATGCTGGTGAGGATGTAGAGAAATAGGAACACTTTTACACTGTGGTGGGAATGTAAATTAGCTCAACCATTGTGGAAGACAGTGTGGTGATTCCTCAAGGATCTAGAACTAGAAATACCATTTGACCCAGCAATCCCATTACCGGATATATACCCAAAGGATTATAAATCATTCTATTATAAAGACACATGCACACATATGTTTACTGCGGCACTATTCACAATAGCAAAGACTTGGAACCAACCCAAATGCCCATCAGTGATAGACTGGATAAAGAAAATGTGGCACATATATACTGTGGAATACTATGCAGCCAAAAAAAGGATGAGTTCATGTCCTTTGCAGGGACATGAATGAAGCTGGAAACCATCATTCTCAGCAAACTGACACAAGAACAGAAAACCAAACACCGCATATTCTCACTCATAAGTGGATGTTGAACAATCAGAACACATGGACACAGGGAGGGGAACATTACACACTGGAGCCTGTTGCGGGATGGGGGCTAGGGGAGGGATAGCAGGGGGTGGGGAGATTGGGGAGGGATAGCATTGGGAGAAATACCTAATATAGATGATGGGGGATGGATGCAGCAAACCACCATGGCATGTGTATACCTATGTAACAAATCTGCATGTTCTGCACATGTACCCCAGAACTTAAAGTATAATAAATAAAAAAATAAAAAAATAAGAGACAACTGGATATGTGGCTCTCACGCAATGCACTAGAAGCACAGAATATGATCTATGAAGTATTCTTGTCCATTGCTGTTAGACTCACATGTGATGAAGGCTCCAGATCTTAACTGCCTAGAGTCAGTGAACATTGAGTAAAAACCACACTTGAAGAGGGAAATTTTAAAGAATTGTTAATTAGAAGACAACTACTAAATGGGATTTTTAAAAAGTATAAAAGTAGCAAGTGCAGAAAGCAACTACTACCCAACAGAGAGAAAAGGGAAGGAACTCGGACATTTAGAAGAGGAGCCCACCCCTCTGGAGACAGTTACACCTCAGCAAAAGATGAGAAGTGCTGGAGACTACAGGCCTTGGCTGACCTAGAATCCTGCCACTAGGCGGCAGGAAAACTTACCAGGAGGCCCGGCTAGCAGCTGACCATGGGAAGAAGCTTACAGGAGGAAGGGGTGAGCTGCTGCTGAAACTGAGGGCTGCCACATAAACACTTCCAGGCTCTAGCACATGCTCATCCACTGGCCACTGTGGAAAACAGCACACCAGGAAGGAAAGTCCTTTCTTCTTGCCCTAGCCTTCCAGTGTCTCCACAGTGCCCTCTATTGACAGCATAGTCTGTGGATAATGGAGCTGGTTAATGCTGCCCTTGGCCTCTGCTCCTCTGAGATCCCACCACCCTCACTGAAATCAGGGTGCCCATCTCCACGGCACAGTTGTCTGGCCTACGACAGAGAGCAACCACAGAGATTTCAAGGTGGCAGGCACTCTCTTCACTAATGTATTTCTTAATGTTTTAAATAAGAGAGTGCCTTCTGGACCATCTCAAGATGTGGTTTGGAAGAGTACATGATAAATCCACTCCAACAGTCCTATCTCCCTAAGCCGAATCCCTCCTCCACAGCATGCTGTGGAAGCTCTGGCACCCCACTTCATTAAACATAGACCACCTCCAAGTCCACATTTCAGTCAACAAAGCAAGTAAGCCCTTAGAGCCCTAATGAGCTAATGCTTAAATCCAGAATCTCTAAAGTGCATCCATGTCCATGAATTCAGCTCAATCTAGCATTATAAGCTGGGACACTACCTGTTTCCCTCATAGAAAATGAGGGAAAGCAATCAGTTAAATATAGAATGTGGAATACCCTACAAGCCAAGTGACCACGTTTCCCCAATAACTGGCAAAAAATTAAAAATAAGGTGAGGAAATTAAGGGAGACTTAGAAAACTAAATGCAATGGGGCTTCCTTGTCTGGATTTTTTTTTTCAAATAAAGCAACTGTGAAGTGGCCATGTGAAATCAGAAGCTTTAACACACAGGATATCTAATATTACAGAAATGCTTTTTAGGTGTGATAATGGTATTTTGGTTGTTAAAAGAGCCTTTATCTGTTGGTGAAATATTTATGGAAGGAGTAGGTCTCAGATTAGCTTGCTTACTCTCTCTCTCTTTCGTTTTTGAAATGGAGTTGTGCTCTTGTTGCCCAGGCTGTAGTGCAATGGCGTGATTTCAGCTCACTGCAACCTCCGCCTCCCAGGTTCAAGCAATTCTCCTGCTTCAGCTTCCCTAGTAGCTGTGATTGCAGGCATGCACCACCACACCCAGATAATTTTGTATTTTTAGTAGAGACGGGGTTTCTCCATGTTGGTCAGGCTGGTCTCAAATTCCTGACCTCAGGTGATCTGCCTGCCTCAGCCTCCCAAAGTGCTGGGATTACGGAGGTGAGCCACCGTGCCCAGCTGGTCTCAGATTAGCTTTAAAATAACCCAGAAAATGTAGAGTATATTCACAGCTAAAAAGAGAGACCGCAAAGCAGTAACTGTTGAAGGTGGGCCAGAGGTTGAAGGATATTTACTATGCTACCCCCTGGGCTATTGTACACGAAAATTCTCATTGTAAAACAGTCTAAAATTCTGCCCCCAGCAACTGAAAGAAAAGATAGTACAACTCACCTCCACATTAAGAACTTTCTGCTGCTTTGAGGGGAGACTGAAGAAGTCAGGCTCTAATGCGTCCCTGCTGACCCTGGGACAGGAACAGGGCAAAGGGCATTTTCAAGTCATTTTGAAGGAGCATTTGGTTCCCATGTTCCTTCTCTACCGTTAAATCTAAGGAGAAAAGTGGAAGCAAAGCCTCATGGTTAAAAACTTGCTAGAGCTGAAACACCTGGGTTGGAATCCTGGCTCCTTCATTACCAGCTATGACTCCAGGCAAGCTATTGAACCTTCCAGAACCTATTTTCCCATCTTTAAGGAGCTTTCAGGGTTAAAAGAGTCAACACTTTTACCTGTTTAGAACAGGGCCTGGCTCAAGGTTAAAAACCATACAGTTTTAAAATTTTCCAGTAAATGATTTAACACTCTTGCAAGCTGGAGCTAAGGTTTTTTATTTATTTTTTTTTTTGTTGTTGTTGTTTTTTTTTTTTTTTTTAAAAAGAAGAGGATGTCAGGGCAGAACAAAAGAATATAATGGGAGCTTGCAACCTCCTCTTCACCCCCATTACCATGGTGCCACTGAGGTTAGGAGTCCCTGACTTCCGTGTTTAATTCAGGTTCTAATTAAAGACATACATTTGAACTGTAAAATCAGAGCAATCCAGGAAGTAGTCCCAGCAAGTTATAATAAAACCAAAGACAAACCTAAGAGATTCCAGTCTGTGCCCACACCTCATTATGAAAAGACGCTTAAGTGCAACCCACATGACCTTTAAAGGCAGGAGCTGGTAAGGTGAGCCACAGACCTAGAGTGTGTAGGCGGTACAAGCTACACTTGGCCTGAGGTTCTGATTCCTAAATAGATGAGCTGTAAGATTCTGCAGCTGCCAAAGCTTATCTCTGGTGAGGTTAATTAACTATGGTTGAATTCATGGTCACCAGGGAGAATAGCAGAATTCTAAAGAAACTCTTAAAACCCAGAGGTGCTGTGATTGAGCAACATAATGAAACGGCAAATTTAAAGTGGCCAGGGGTAGTGTAAGACAGATGAACATTCACAGCGATTAAACTCAGGAATGCTCAGATTTGCTGTCAAGAGACAAGTCAAACAGAATGGAGAGAAGGATAACGAGTAGCTACAGAAATTACACTGATGATGAGGCAGTTATCTAAGAAATGACAGGTGAGATATTAAAAATGGTCATTATACTGATAACTACTGAACTACAAAAATGTGTAGTTTTGTAAAAAATCAAAAAATGAAGCATTTCAGTTTCCAGGTCTTTCCCTCCAACTTCAGTATCTACTTTCCCTCATTTAACGGCATCCAAAAATGCATGTGGGAATATGATAATCCTTTCTGGGCTAAGAATGCAATTTAGAAGATTTCCTACTTGAGCTAGCCCCATGGTTGTTTTCCAACCGTGCACTAGGGAAATCATTTATCATTTTTTGACATGACCCAGTGGTTCCCGGATTTTGTTGTACTTAGAACTGTGGGACTTGAAAAAACATCCCTCTGCTCAGGTCACACTCCATACTAATTAATTCAGAATGTCTGGATGTGGGAGTCAGGCATCAGTTTTTTTTTTTTTTTTTTTTTTTTTTTTTTAATGACTCCCAGGTTATTCCAAAATGCAGCAGTTTGAGAACCATGGACATAATCTTATAGAGTTGCCCTACTTCTTATGATGAAAATTGCTAAGGCCAGGTGAGGTGGCTCATGATGGTAATCTCAGCACTTGGGAGGTAATCCCTTGGGAGGCCGAGGTGGGTGGATCACCTGAGGTCAGGAGTTCGAAACCAGCCTGGCCAACATGTCAAAACCCTGTCTCTACTAAACATACAAAAAGTAGCCAGGTGTGGTGGCGAGTGCCTGTAGTCCCAGCTACTCATGAAGCTGAGGCAGGAGAATGGCTTGAACCTGGGAGGCAGAGGTTGCAGTGAGCCGAGATTGTACCACTGCACTCCAGCCTGAGTAACACAGTGAGACTTCATCTCAAAAATAAATAAATAAAGATAAAATTGCTCATACAGGATAAAAACTTTAGCTGCAGTATTTTCTAGGGAATGATATACTATCTAAACTTTGGAGTTAAAAAGAAAGACACTGGGCGTGGTGGCTCACACCTGTAATCCCAGCACTTTGGGAGGCCGAGGCAGGCAGATCATGAGGTCAGGAGTTCGAGACCAGCCTGGCCAATATGGTGAAACCCAGTCTCTACTACAAATACAAAAATTAACTGGGCGTGGTCCCAGCTACTCAGGAGGCTGAGGCAGAAGAATCGCTTGAACCCAGGAGACGGAGGTTGCAGTGGGCTGACATCACACCACTGCACTCCAGCCTGGGTAAGAGTAAGACTCTGTCTCCAAAAAAAAAAAAAGAAGACACACAAAATCTCTGTCCATAGGTGATGTTTTGAGTTTCACTATGCTAACATTCAAAAAATCAATGGTTTGTTTTGTACATCTTGCCTCCCTAAACAAAAGATACAAAATCAAAGTTTGAGTTCTCTGGGGATAAAAGGAAAACAACATGGAATAGAGTACTACTGCCAGTAACTCTGTAGTAAAAAGATAAGAAAAGGTTAAATATACTGAGATTTAAAACTTCAGGGATTGGCACAAATAACTCCCACCTGTAATTCCAGCATTTTGGGAGGCCAAGGTGTGAGGACCGCCTGGGCCTGGGCAACACAGCAAGACCCCATCTCTACAAAATAATAAAAAATTAGCCAGGCATGATGGAGCACACCTGTAGTCCTGGCTACTCAGGAGGCTGAGGCAGGATGATCACTTAGGCCCAGGAGTTTGAGGTTGCAGTGAGCTGTGACTGTGCCACTGCAATGCACCCTGGGTGACAGAGCAAGGCTGTCTTTACAATAAAACAAAAACAAACTTCAGTGCTTGAGGTCAAAAACTGTTGTTAGATCTCAAGAAAAACAAAATCTAGTCACGGAAGACCATGTTTCCTAAAATGTCAATGCCAAGTGTAGAATGTCACACTAAATAACTGCAAAAAATTAAAGTCATTCCTACTTTCAAATCTGCTACCTTTCGTGAGAAAGTGACTGCCTGCTACTTAGTTAACGCAGCTTCTGACCTGATACCAAAGCTGTCTGCTCAAGCCTAATAACAAGTAAGACATGCTGTGAATGCTGTTTCCCTCACACTTACACACTACTCTCCATCATCTTTGGAGATGAACCATCTCACAGAGGTTTCTTGCGGCATGCTTTGACTGGATCCCTGAACAGTTTGGTTGAGGGACTGAAAAGACTTTTAAAGTTAATGACTTCAAGTCTACCCATTGTATTACTAAATCCAATTATTTAGAATTCCAGTTCTCACTTCGGGGGCAAATTCAAAAGGACTGAACTGCCTTAATGATTACTTTTATATATATCCTAAATCCCTGATGTGAACATAATTCCTATTTTAAATAATACAAATATGATTATTTAAAGCAATTATTTCTAAGGCCAGGCATGGTGGCTCACGCCTGTAATCCAAGCACCTGGGGAGGCTGAGGCATGCAGATTACTTGAGGTCAGGAGTTCGAGACCAGCCTGGACAACATGGTGAAACCCTGTCTCCACTAATACAAAAAAAAAAAAAAAAAATTAGCTGGGCATGGTGGCACACGCTTCTAATCCCAACTACTGGGGAGGCTGAGGCATGAGAATTGCTTGAACCCAGGAGGTGGAGGTTGTAGTGAGCCAGGATTGTGCCACTGCACTCCAGCCTGAGTGACAGTGAAACTATGTCAAAAAAGATAATAATATAAAATAAGCAATTATTTCTTATTCAATATATCACTAATATTCATTATCTTCATTTAAAGCCCAAGAGAAGAAATGTTATCTTACCTCCATTCTGCAGGCTCCATCAGTACCTAGTTATAATAAATGGTGAATTATCAGATCTCATGAGACTTCCACAAAAACATTAAAAAGAAAAAAAAAGATAAATGGTGAATTAAAACAATTACAAGCCTGCAGTATCAGGATGCTACTATTAGAACACCTGTCCATATGATTTTCTTTTTTGAGACATTGTTTCACTCTTGTTGCCCAGGCTGGAGTGCAATGGCGCGATCTTGGCTCACTGCAGCCTCCACCTCCTGCGTTCAAGCGATTCTCCTGCCTCAGCCTCCCAAGTAGCTGGGATTACAGGCATGCACTACCACGCCCAGCAAATTTTGTATTTTTAGTGGAGATGGGGTTTCACCATGTTGGTCAGGCTGGTCTCCAACCCCAGACCTCAGGTGATCCATCCACCTCAGCCTCCCAAAGTGCTAGGATTACAGGCATGAGCCACCGTGCCCAGCACACCTGTCCATATGATTTTTTAACTTCTTGGCTCTCCTTTGGATCTGACTACCTCCATTAATTTGTTTCCACTCCCTAACTTGAGATCGTGACCTAATTTGTTCCTTTGTCAGTGTACACACCTATAGCATGACCTGTCCTAAATTCCTATCCCACATTCTCAACCTCCTGACATCTCCGCCTACGTGTTCCTACCCCAAACCAATTTCACATTCGAACAGAGGGATATAAACAAGCAAAATCTTTAGTGTGCTAAATAAAGAGTAAGAACTTCAGGCCAGGCACTATGGTTCACAACTGTAATTCCAGCACTTTGCAAGGCTGAGGTAGGAGGACCACCTGAACTCAGGAGTTTGAAATTAGCTTGGGCAACATAGTGAGACTTCATGTCTACCAAAAAAAAAAAAAAAAAAAAAAAAAAAATTAGCTGGGTGTGGTGGCGCACATTTTAGTCCCAGCTACTTGAGAGGCTGAGGCAGTCAGGGTCGTTTCAGCCCAAGCCAAGGCTGCGGTGAACTATGATCACACTACTGCTCTCCAGCCTGGGTGATGCTGTCTCAAAAACAACCACCCGTCCTCCTTGCAAAACCACAAGAGTCTAAACAAATGGTGCTGAGCAACTGTATATCCACATGCAGAATAATGAAGTTGGAACCCTAGGTTGCAATAAAAAAAAATTAACTCAAAATATAACAAAGACCTAAAGGAAAGAGTTAAAAACATAAAACTCTTAGAAAAAAATAGGGATAAATCTTTACGACTTGGGTTAGGCAATGTTTTCTTAGATATAACACCCAAATCACAAGCAACTAAAGAGCAGCTAAGTTCGACTTCATCAAAATTGAAAATTTTGTGCTCCAAAAGACACTTCTACAAAAGGGAAAAATGGTAGGAGAAAATATTTACACTTCATGTATTTGACAAAGTCGTACCTGAAATTTAAAACACTTGCAACTTAATAATAAAATTACAAATAAACTAATTTAGAAATTGGTAGAGGATTTGAATACACATTTTTCCAAAGAAGACATACAGATGGCCAATAAGCACAAGATGTTCAACACCACTAGTCATTATAGGAATGCAAATAAAACTACAATGAGATACTTCACACCACTAGGAAGACTAGATCACTAGAAACAAGTGATCACAAAGATATGGAGAAATTGAAATCCTCTGACACTGCTGGTGGGAACAGTAATATAATGTGGTGAGGCTACTTTAGAAGTTTGGCAGTTCCTCAAAGTGATACATGACCCAGCAATTTCACCCTTAAGTATATACCAAAGAGAACCGGATATGTTGATAGAAAAACTTGTACAGGGAAGTTCATAGCAACATCATTCATAATGCCATCATTCATAATAATGAAACAATTCAAATGTCCAACTGATGAATGTATAATTTAAATGTGGTATATCCATACAATTACCTATATTGTGTAGCAATAAAAATGAAACACTGATACACGCTAAGCCTCAAAAACAGGCTAAGTGTGGAAGCCAGTCACTGAAAAACAAATTGTATAATCTTTTCTAAATGAAACGCCTGGAATGAGAAAATCTAGGCTGGGCATGGTGGCTCATGCAGCTGTAATCCCAGCACTTTGGGAGGCCGAGGTGGGCAGATAACCTGACATCAGGAGTGAGACCAACCTGGCCAATATGGTGAAACCCCGTCTCTACTAAAAACACAAAAATTAGCCGGCTGTGGTGGTGGTCACCTGTAATCCCGGCTACCTGGGGAGGCTGAGGCAGAATTGCTTGAACCCGGGAGGTGGAAGTTGCAGTGAGCCGAGATTCCACTACTGCACTCCAGCCTGGGCAAGAACAAGACTCTCTCTCAAAAAAGAAGAAAAAAAAAAAAAGGAGGAAAAAAACTAGAGACAAATAATACAATAGTGGCAGCTGCCTAGGACTGAGGAACTGGAGAGGAAAGCAGAGAATGACTAATAACAATACGATTTCCTTCTGGGGTGATGAAATGTTCAAGAATTTTAAGAGTGGTGATGGTTGCATAACTTTGAGAATATACCAAAAAAAGTATTATATTGTACACTTTAATACTTTAAAAATTTTAAAGTATTAAATTGTAACTGTAGTGGCTCCCCAAGTGGCTGTAAAACATTCCGCTACTTTGGGAGGCCAAGGAGGACTGCTTGAGACCAGCCTGGGCAATAAAGCAACACCTCTTCTCTTAAAAATAAAAAAATAGTGCATGATGGCACACATAGTAATCCCAGCTACTGAGCTGACTGAAGTGGGAGGATTCCCTGATCCCAGGAGTTAGAGGCTGCAGTGAGCCATGATTGTGCCACTGCAGTCCAACACAAGACCCTGTCTTTTTAAAAAGAGTGGTTTCTATCTTAAGAAAAAAAAAAAAAAAAA